AGTGACAGGCGTGCCCTACACTTCAGAATATAATTAAAGTCGCCCCGCCACGACTGAGCGGCGTCTACATTAGGGAAATATAAATGTTCGATAACTTAGATTCAAGATTAAATTCGACCAGGTTCTGAGTTACACATACACACGTCCACTTAAACCAGGGAAACTGCTAGTCACTTACTGGCGTCGATATATACAGCACGGTTTCCTTCCACACTTACCTTATTGCTACTTGTAGTCAACAATTCAGAATTTTTCAGTTTACAATTTGAAAGCCACGTAGGATGATATTGTGCTACCATGTAGCACGCGTGAAGAAAATGAAAAGCACGTTTATATTTTGTAAGAGAAGAACCGAAGGGAAGGGAGAACTTGGGAAATTTAGGTGTGGTATTAGTAGTAGTTGTGCCGGTCACGGTAGCCGAGCGGTCTAAGACATGTACTGTCTTCACTCGCTTGGATACCGGGATCGTGGGTTCGAATCCCACTCAAGGCATGGATATTTGTGTGCGTTTTTCTGTGTTTGTATACAGGTAGAGGCCTTGCGACGAGCTGATCACCCGCCCAAGGAGTCCTACCGAATGTGTAAGATCTAGAAAAACCGAAGTGAACGGAGAAGTTCATGGAGGTATGCCTAGGCTCACTGGGGCTGTAGTGTCAAAGAAAAAAAAATAGTAGTAGTTTTAGTGTTCATGGAGTAATATTTGTAGCTGTGATAGTAGTAATGGTAGTTGTAGTAGTACTGGTAATATTATTGGTAGCTGTCAGTGTAATGGGGTCAGTCACAATAGCCGCGCCGTCTAATGCATGAATTGTCTTCGCTCGCTCTGACACTGGGATCGTGGATTCGAATCCCACTAAAGGCATGAATGTTTGGTGTGTGTATGCCTTTATTCTGTGTTTGTGTTTCCCTATGTTTAGGTAGAGGCCTTGCGACGGGCTGATCACTCGTCCAAGGAGTCCTGCCCTCTGTCAAAAATGATTACGGAACTGAATAAGAGACCAGGGCCATGAATGGGCTGGAAGAGCCACTGAAAACAAAATAGTGGTAAGAGTAGTTGTGGTAGTAGTAATGGTGGAAGTAGTGGCAGTCGAAGTGATAGTTGTAGTGGTAATGGCCGTAGTAGTACTCTTATTAGTAGTTAATACTAGTAACAGATGTAATTTACTACTGGAAATGTTGCCACTTTGTTCAGGAGCTTAAGCCACGCTGTCAGTCGGTCATACTCCTAACTATAGAAAGAACTCTGTTCGTCTTTAAAATTCCTCGATATTAATTTAAATCGCAAGCAATGAATATAGAAAAGCTCTGTTTTATTCCCTAGAATAAAACTGCAAGAGCAGAATGTCGTTATCATATGTAACCATTGAAATAGATGCAAATTTTTGCTCTAGTAGGGATCTTGTTTAAACTGCTCATCTTTATTCAGTCGAATCGATTTAAAAAAATCAACATTATTTGAAATTATTATGTAGAACATTTGTGATTTTATTTGGCCCTTTGCTCGTTGGTATTCCCAGACTCCCGAGAAAGACTGAAATGTGGTATTTTGCCCCCAGAATGCTTATTTAAATGTTTCCAAATTAATATCTTGTGGGATATTTCATGACCATGCAATTATTATCTAGACTCATACCCACCGATTATAAGCTTATTATCTTGGCAATGTTCCTGGCAAGGTACTGAAGACTCCAAGCCCAGGGCTATGGGGCCCGGACGCCCTATCAATCACGCTCCTTAGATGCCTTTATGTATCAGGAAATATTTATGGGCACAAATGAAGTATGTCTGTTTTTCTTTTTTGTTAGTGGGTGTGGGACCAAGTCCCTTGTACTGTGGCCACTTCTGGTCTATTGTACCAGCCCCAGATGATAGGTTAGGGTGATTGTGGAGCAATTGGTGGAATGAAGATTAGCAGGGGAAAGCGAAGTACTCGGAGAAAACCTTTGTCCGCCACAAATCCCACTTAACCAGACCCGGGTTTGAACCCGGGCCGCCGCAGTGGGAAGCCAGCAACTAACCGCTTGAGCTATGGCGCGGCCAAGTATGTCTGTTAGTGAATGCCTGTGGGACCTCATTGTTCGACAGACAGACTGTACTACTGCATATTAAATAAATTGTTGATGGTTTTCAGTGAGTAAGTTTTTTTAACTCAGACATATTTTGATGAGTGTATGCATTGTGACATGTAGACTCATTTCTGGGCAACATCCGAAATACGCGCACGCAACAACAGAACCAGCGTCTCAAGAGGTGTTTTCTATGTGGGTTCACATGTATCCATTGCTAGGCAAGGTGTCGATAAACACGCATTCTCTACAATAGAAGACGGCGTTTTCCGTGGGGTCCGTGGCAAGGACTTATCTTGAAGGCAGTCGACGCTCTTGGGTCAGTTGAGGGTTCAGCTGTGGAGTGTTGACCAGCGAGCAACGGAAGCGGAGGGATCGCCATCGCTAAGCTTCTTTACCAGGAAACGTGTAGTGAAAGCTTTGCAGAGGAAGAGCCATTGTGCAGAGCTGTTATCTAGTAAAGACTAGAGAAAATAGACTGAGAAGACTTAGCGTGGAGTGATTTGTAGTGTAGAAATAAAAAATAGTGTTATAATTATTTGAAGTCGCCACTTGTAAGTGGTCAATAAACCTATTCACCAACCCAGACATCGTCTATAGTCACTCATAAACAAGTAACAGTATATATCGTAACGTATTTGGAGTAGTTACTTCCATGGTAACGCAATAACAGTGAGCCGTTTCGTAGAGAAGGCCGAAGAAACGAAGCAGCGTTTCACCGGAGATAGACAACAGAAGGTTCAGTGCGTAGCAACGGCCGCGCATCTATAACAAGGTAATGCATTCGCCGAGACAGTCTTGGGATAGCCGCCACTCAAGAGAGTTGGGATCCAGCCACGAGCAGATACAGTTGGAAGATAGCCGCCGCACAATGCAGCTGGAGTGACACAAATTGTATCTGAGAGTGTGCAAGAATAAAGGTGTTCGCTAAATCCGAGACCTATGTGAAATTATTTGTCGCGTGACATACTCAACACGTGACAATATGTCTATATACTCGTATATTGCTATGCAACTAGAACTGTCGGTTTTCTTGAACACGAAATTGAAAACTATTGAAAGGAAGATATATGCAGCTATAAGAATAGAGATTGTTTGTGTTAGACACACAGAAAAGCTATGAATATTGTTTTAGTTTGAAACTTCGGCTTGCGCGTCTCGCACAGTTACGTATCTCCTCAGTCGTAAGGTATACAAAGCTATGTAAGAAACTCTATTTTTATTGTAACCGAATATACGTAGGAAGTGCGTTTAAGTTTGCAGTTATATGCTAAAATTTAGTGTGAACAGTGGCTAATATGTTTTATTATTTCACACACATATGAGAGCATAAATTTTTATTCATAAATACATATGTTTTTGTCACTTTGGTGTGAATTATGTCCTTTGAGCACTGTCATTCTTGGACTCTAATAGTCGCTTAGTTTGTGGATAAAGTATTTTACTCTTTTTGAAACCAAAATTTTATTACTAAGGTTATAAAGCCCCTACTGACCCCATCCCGAACCAGATGAATCCAGCCCTTACCTGTATATATTATATAATTAAACTCCTTTTTAATATTATCATCCCATCTATGCCAATTTCAGCGTAGTATTGCTACTAGGATTCTGTAATTGGTAAGAAAAATAATGTAGTATTTTATTGAAACGTTAATTACATTTGTGTTTTATTGTAAAAATGTTCAGGATACTATAAAAATTATAAATAATATTCATAAATTATTAGTAGTGTATGAATTTCATGCTATTACTTATGTTCTACACAAGTTGATATATTTTGCACCTTTTGTAAGAAAATTTCCAGGATCTTAAGCATCTTATTACTGTTTGTATTTACCTTCTTAAATGAAGTACAACAATATTAAAATAATAAAAGTAAACCAACCTCTTCAATGCCGTATCCGACCTGGACAGTGAACGTTAATTTTAAATTACAGGCCTGCACTCTATGTTAAGCCGCAGGCGTTTTAACAGCCGTAGGCTAAAGGACTAATTAAAAAAAAGAACTTTGTTAATATATTCCTTCGGCGCGCACTGTCTCAATGTGCATATAGTATAAACTTATGTTACAACAATCTTAATCTTACCAATAGAGAAGATTGAACTATCATATAGACTCCAATAACCTAAAATTACCGTTTCGTGATAAAGAGAATGAGACCAATTCTTTTTTTGAAAAAAGAGTCTCCGCTGTAAAGTACTGTGAGAAACAGCTTCAGAAAAGCAGAGTCATATAATGCGAGTGGTTTCACGGTTTTTTATTTCTCGAAATCACAAGGGGTTAAAATGTGTTGCTTGGTGATCTAACTTAATTTTTTTTTTTCAGTACATAGGAGTATCCTTCCAGGAATATTTAAAAATCATTGACAACAAATTTTATATCACAATAATATTTTTGTGCAGTAAATCGATATTTAGTAGTATAAAGTGCATATTAATCTTACATTTATATTATTTGTTATAAGCTGATTATTTTATATTAGTATTTCTCTTTGCGATGAATATTTATCATAAGTGTTTTAATATTGGGCTTGGTCATATTTTTTATCCATCGCGATGATAATTGTTTCTTCGGTTATTTTAGAATGCCATAAAATAAGGATATATAGAGAATAATATATATGATGATAAAAATATAATTAAATATAAATGGTGAATATTAATCAGTAGTAATTAAGATGTGATAAAGTACAGATATCTATGATTTATTAAATTATTTATTCATCAATAGATTAGCGAAATAAATTAAATTTAACAAATTAATCTTGTTTGCACAATTTCATCTAGGCAGTAGCAATTAATACGAATACCAGGTGTATTTCAGATCAACAGAAGGAATCAAAATATATTATAAATTGTTATATAGAATGGTGCCGTGAATGAAGCAACTGTGAGATAATACAGCTCAAAACTTCTTCGTGAAGCACTTACCTGCGATTGTGGTGGCGGCAGTAATGAGAGCGACGAAGCCGGTCCACATGACGCTGTTACATGACGCCCACTTTACACGACGCTGTACGTCGCGACGGCTTGGCACGACTACCGTAGGCTTACACACCCTCCTTATTTCCCGTGGTACTAGCGCCGCACATCGGCCCTATGCGTAACCTCCTCAACACACATGCGCCCCGGTGTGGGACAGCAGTAATGCAGCATACCAAACTTGGCACTCAAGAACAAGCGACCGTGAAAATTATTGAGTCTGATAACTGTAGAAACTGAGTCCTTCCGCCTTCCATTCTCAGGTATATTCGCGCGTGACAAATCAGAATATTCTTCCTCTTAATGAAATGAGCTGAAATCTTGGATTCCAGTCTAACCATGAGTACAGGCCGCGCCATAGCTCAAGCGGTTAGTAGCTGGCTTCCCACCGCTGCGGCCCGGGTTCGATCCCGGGTCTGGTCAAGTGGGATTTGTGGTGGACAAAGTGGCGTTGAGGCAGGTTTTCTCCGAGTACTTCGGTTTCCCCTGCCAATCTTCATTCCACCAATTGCTCCACAATCATCCTCACCTCTCATCTGGGGCTCGTACAATAGGCCAGAAGTGGCCGCAGTACAAGGGACTTAGTCCCACCCCACTAGCAATAAAAAAATGAGTATGGAATTGTGTTTTTCATCATTACCTCTCAGCGTCATAACTCATTGGCACTTTGCCATAATTATCTGGCTATGCTTTGATGGACTGTCCCTCAAACAGATAAAAAGCAATGAACACGTTTTGATAACTACATTCACCAAGTGAACATGGATAATTGAAGTCGAGCGATATTACTTTTGTAATATTGACAGAATTAGTTCATTATTTCTAAGGCATTTCTTTAGTCCCTTCGGACACTTCAACTGAACATTTTCAGGCCTCTTCTAGCCCATTCAAGGCCCAGGCCTCTTATTCAGCTAAGTAATCTATTTTCACAGACGGTACAACTTCTTGGACGAGTAATCAGCTCGTCGCAGGACCTCTAGCTAAACACAGAATAAACACATGCACACCCCAAACATTCATGCCTTAAATGGGATTCGAACCCATGTTCCCAGAGTCCTAGCGAGCGGTTACAATTCATTCATTAGACTGCGCGGCTACCGTGACGGCCCTTCTACTGAAGTTTTAGCCCTAGAAACTTAAAGCAAATTACTCCTTTATTCCCAATTACGTTTAATATTGAGTAAAAATACACTTTAATGTTGCATATCCTCTGCTTAAGCGTGTGTCATTGTAGCCGTATATAGATAAAGTTTTCCTTACGCTTAATTAAGCACTTAAGTATAAAAATTCATGGTGTGTGTATGTACAGCTTTACGCATTTATAATCTTGGCCCCAGATAGAGTTTCTTGCTCTGTCCGCTTTGCTCCGAAGACAGAATTCCTGAATAGGAGGCTGAGTGGACAATAGATTCGATGTAGATTCTGCATGTCGTCCCTGACAGATATAAAACTTCGAGTCTTCTGTTGTTCAGACCGTAGCATAGCTATTGCACCAGCTGAGCAATTGCCTCTCCTATCCTTATATAGGGCATATTCATCATTCGTTCATCTGTAATCTGTCAAGACGACAGGTCCACAGTCCTTTCCAAAACAGTTCCTCCACTTAATGCGATCTAGAGCTTTCTCCTTCAAATGAAAATATCCTCTTCTGTCCCCAAGGTCATCCAACATCTTCTTACGTCTTCTTCCTCGTCTTCTGGTCACTTCTATCCGCCCCTCTATCTTTCCTTCAATAACTTCTTTTAGAATGCAGTTACCGCGTAAGACATGACCAATCCAATTAGCCTTCCGTTTTCTTATTTCGTGTAGGATATTCCTCTGCCCACTGACTCTAAATAACACTTCTTCATTTCTCACATAACTCGTAAAAATTAGCAATTTTCATGGACGTAAAGCTAGCGATATATTTGAAGGTAAACTTTTTGTTCTCTCGGTCTTTATTTTTCTTAAGGAACGTCACTTTTGGAATTATTGTCTGAATGTGTGGTGCACGTGAGAGTGTCTTATTCTTCTTCTATTACTGCTGCTCCCACATGTAGCATAGGGAATCTGTGAAACGCTTAATTTCACTTCAGTTTCTTAAGCTAAGACTGTCGATAGAGCTCCTTGGACGGGGGATAAGCCCGTCGAAAGGTCGCTGCCTAAAACACACACAAATACAAGGGACGATAACGTGTGATTTTTATTAGCTTTGCAACAATAATGTTTTATCGTGTATGTGTATATATTTTGTTATTTGCAATAAATTAACATATTTGTCGAAGAGGTGTACATATTGTGACATGACGGCTAAAAACTGGAATAGTGGAGCTAGAGTCAGACGTCCGCTGCAGAGTAACGACTCGAAAATCACGTTTTCGTTACAACACACAGCAGCGAACGAGCGGTTATCAGGTAATAAGTTGCTAAACACAAGATTCCCGCGAAAACCAGCAGGACAACAGGGGACAATTAACTGTTCGAAATGGTGTCTTCTATGCGGGCCACCTAGCAATTATAATAGGCAGTGGATTTGTGAATTCAAACAGAAGAGATTATAGATTCAGGAGAGTAGAAGAGATCAGTCCGAGATTAGTGAGAGGTTCGTCAGACAAATTTCATCAAGAAGGAGCTCGATGTGTGCACTGTAAGCAACTGTAATTGTAAAGAAATGTCATTAAATCCAATCGTTTGATCTAGAACTCAGTGTTATTAGTCTCGCGAACACTTTATAGTTAACAGTATCATTGCAAAGAAGGCATGTGGAAAGCACGGTCATTTCTACCTTTGCGGATTATAAGAGACATACAACTTCGTCCGTGTATGTCCGCTGGTCTCTGTATGGACAGATGAAGAGGGGCGTAATTATAAACCGTTGCAGTAAGTACTTTAGTCATGAGGAAATAATGAGAATCTGGTTTGTTATGAACCAATGGGATTCCTAAACAGGTCCTTGGTTGATGATCCGATGGTCTACAGTGCAAACAGACGCCCACACACAGAATGGTATATACTGCGCAGAACGTCTTGAAGGGGAAGAGAGTTATCCGAACACGCAAGCAGAAAACATTGCCGAGATGGAAGTGGATAATCGGTATTTCTCGTTACTGCGTCGGCTGTGGTCAGCTTTACAGCAATGTCAGGCACTGAAGAGCCACAGAGAGTCGACTGACGTGGTAAAGGTATAACTGTCCATGTAAGAGACCATGGAGGTCTATAGGGTTGTGAGACTTCGAGGTTCCCACATTTTCTAGACAATCGGCCGCTCGTTACCCCCATAAAGATTCCTGGTACTCATTTCCATTATAGGCTGACTCGACTCCAGGGCCACAGTTCAGCTGGAAGGATTAGGCCTATTGAAAAATCCAGTGACCTCATCGGGATTCGAACCCGCGACCTTTAGGCTTGTAGCATAGTGCCTCAACCAACTACACATCCGCATGCCCCATAGGATAGACTGGAGCAGTATGAAATGGGTCTTTTATATTTCGGGTTTATGGCTGTCTATATATTCACCTTGGTGGTCTAATACGTTAAGATATACGGTATATCAACCGAAATTTATCTGTTAAGAATGATCCTATTGTACTGGGTGTACGAGTATAGAAATTATAACTAGTGACTGATTTCAAATACTCTTTGAGTAATAGCTCATGAATCTTAGACAGTTAACAGTTCTTTACATGCTAACCTCTGCATATGACGTACGAGTATTTAAAATGCATTAGAATTTTACAGTTCAGTGATGATATCACTTGGCTTCACCAGTACTTCACAAAGGGGGAGTTTGTCTTTAATTGCGGACTCATTTAATGACACTGTCCGTAGCTTGGATAAATTTAGTTTCAAATGATGGAATGAATAGTAAATAACAAAGCGAGAGAAAATAAGTGACCTAGTTTTAGGTTTTATACCAACATTGAAATGAAGGAAATCTCTTCTCCTAATAACATTTTCATTGAAAGGGAAGTAATTATTTATCCGATTGTAGTTATATATTTATTCTAACGAAATATATATGCTTATTTGTCTAAAAATAAACAGCATTGATTTGCTTTCATTAAATAATTCGGAAATTCTGAAAATTTAATTATATATTTTTTCCCGTATCAATAAATCATTCACACACAAGTTTTGTTTGTGCTCGCTTCACCAAACTGATTTACTTTTCTGTATAAATCGTTAACGCTTTTAAATTATACAACAGAGGAAGGCTAGACATTCGTGTCTTCGTAACTGTAGTCAGCAACGGTAATATATCAGAAAGAAATTTTTACTATCCACAGCCACAAAATAAATTAAGTGATTTAAATTGCATGAAAAACAACTGAAAGGACAGTATTGATACCACTGCCACTCTATTAAATTAGACCATAGCGTAAAAATTATTCCTACTATTATCCTACGAGTATTTCGAGGTTGTGCTTTCGAGTCTCTTATAAGACACCCCCGTTCTAACGTGAATTCTTCTCTTAAACAATGGATGGAATGGTGGTAAATACATGGTGTGTCCAGGATCCTTTTGGACACTTTTTTTTTTAATTTTGACCTGCAATGTCATCTGTTGGCGAGTTGTGGCATTAAGATTCCTGAAGTTTCAGCTGTAGCTGTGTATAATTTCAAAGCGCAAGCATCGCTGCATCATGTGTTCTGACCTTGAATGTAACAGTACTGTTCTGACGCTCGTCGAAAAATGGCGGTTGAACAGAGAGCCAACATAAAATTTTGTTTGAAGTTAGGCAAAACAGCCGGAATACGAAATGAGGAAAAGTATGTAGGGTAGTGATTGTTTGAGTCGCTCGAACATTTTTTAATGGTATATTGTATTTCATGACGACAGGAAGGACATTGAAGACGCTCCGCGTGCATCAAAGACGAGAACAATTGGCACTGAAGAAAATGTGAAAAAGTGACCGAAATCCTTGCATCAGACAGATGTGTTTCTGCAAGACTCATCGAGAAGCTTTTGGGAATACAAAAAACTACTGTGCATCAAATTTTGACCGAGGCTTTTGGCAAACGAAAGTTCTGTGCGCGGTTTATATAGCACGCGCTGTCTGGCGATGAAAAACAT